ATAAAGGAGAAGGGTGCAGAGTGGTCTGGGTGTTGGTTTGATAGGTTGTGTTTTTTAAACTATCTTTTTTAAAAAAGAAAAAGCCCCCATCCTGTGTCATCATTTTTATGGGATCTGCAATTCTGGCAAAAATCTGTCTTTAATTTAGCTGTCCATATAAAAATCCTCACTGTATAATAATGAACAGATGCCATGGAATTTAAGCTGGAGCCTCGGCTCCTCCCCGCCTTCCCCCCGCGCCTGGCACCGGGCACCGGGCACCGGCTGAGTGGCACAGACTGGCACCAACACGCGAGCAAAGGCTGGGCAGGGGGCGACCTGGGCTCAGCGCCAGGGCTCTGGGGTGGTAAGGTGCATCAGGGCGCGGGGCTTGGCCAGGCGGGAGCTTTTTCGTGGTGACACCTGGGGAGAAATGTCTGAGGAATTTTTCTCTCTTTTTCTACAAAATGATCAGTAGTTAAGGATTTGGGTTTGGTTTTGCTTAGGGCTTTGTGGTTCTTCGGATTTTTTTAAAAAAGCACCGTCCTCTCTTCCAAAAATACCTAAATGTTTTCGATATTTTAATTGAGTTTTTTTTAACCCTACCCCTGAGCGGCGCCCAGGCCTTGGCCTCAGAGCCCAGCCGAGCGCGAGTTCGCAGCAAGCGGGATGAGTTCCGCGCCTGGCGGGCCGGCAGCCTCCGCCATATCCCCAGCGCGGGCGCCTCCAGGGGCTCCCGGGCGGCTCAGACCGAGCAGGAGTACCCTGCTGTCCTGCAGTAGTGAGGCCCGATGTGGCGTCTGATTGGGAAGCAAGTGAGATGGAGGGAAGAGAGAAAGCCCCCCGGACCCCACTACAGTTTTCCTACTGTTCCCAAGGGAGTAGAAAAAAACTATATAGGTTCGGTGTCCTCTCCTGCAATCGAGAAAGCAGGCATCAGCCTGGGTTTGAGGGGTTGGTTCTGAGCCCCCTAGCCCCCACCCCATGCCTTTAATGCAACTATGGCGAGAACAGATGTCCCAAGCCGGGCGGGCTGCCCAGACCCCGCCCAGCTGTGCCCTTGGCAGACTTGGCTGAGGGTAGGAACTGGCACGCGGGTCCCCAAAGGGGCTTGCGGGCTCCTGCGGCACCGGCGGGACCTGACCTCACAGCCTCGGTCTCCTGGTCAGCACAGCCTCAGGCTGTAGGTGGGAGAGCCCCAGAAAGACCAGCTCCTAATTCAATTAAATCCAAAAAGAGGAAGGAGAGCTGAACAGAGATTGAGAGAGGCTGAGAGAGGTTGGAATAACCGAACACCAGGCACACACTCCATGTGCGGAACTCGGCAGCCCCAGTCAGTCTGGGGAGACCAGGCTGAGCTTCAGCGCTGGATCCTGCAAGACAGTCGTCGGCCCAGAGCCATACTTAGGCACACATCTGGGCAGTCTGCACCCAATGCTGTGCCCCAACTCCCTTGGCACTTCTGGTGCCTAGAGATACCCTCCTCTCCTCTCCTCTCCTCAGAGTGACCCAGTTTCTCTGAGTAGGGGGTTAGAAACTCGATTCTGGCTTCTCCCTACCAGGCTGTCTGTGAGACCAACCCTGATTTTGGTCTTCTCAGGCTCGCACTCCCAGTGCTCCAAACAGAATACTTCAGGATAAAGTTTCAAGTGCAGAAAAACCCTCCCAAGGCATCGGCATCCATGCTTACCACTGTCATCTAGGGAAACTTTGTCGGCAATATTTGAAGGTGCAGGCCAGAAAGACAGAAGCCACCTCAGGATTCGGATCTAAGGCAGGATTTCAAGGTTTCTTCTAGTTCAGGTGTCACCTTTACTCTGGGCCTGTGGCCAGCACCTGGATGATCCACTCCAGAAGGAAGAAAAAAATGAGTGTCTTGGGCTGGGAGTCTGTACTGACTGCGGAGGCTATATATCCCCTCCCACTTCCTAAAAGCCAGAAGCTTTCTTCTTACAGCACATAGGGACAGATCAGAGTGGAGTGCTGGGTGGCCCCTCTATTATCACATGGGGGCTTAGCAGTGAGGGTCCAGACCAAGGCTGGCCAGGCTTGGCCTGTGCTGCTCTTTCTGCCCATCTTCCTTGAAAACTGAGCTGTGGAATCTAGAACCATCCTTAGTCATGATGCTCTCCTGAAATCAATAGAATTCCCTAGAAGCAGGTGACTTCCTGTTTAATATTCTAGGGAAGAGGAGGAAGCAAAGGTTATGCAAAAGAGAACAAAATCTCTGACCTCTGCCGGCAGATCCTCTATTCACCTGCTTCTGGACTTGCACAAGAAAGGGAAAGACAGAAGCAAGCACAACTCTGTGGAATACCTGGTGTGTAAGGGCTTCCCTGTCGCTGACCCTAACAGGCTCAGCTTTCTCCCTTCCCTCAGTGGTTTATTAGGTGATGAAATCAGAGCTGGAATTTCACTTGGGGAGCACAGCTCGCTATTCAGGTGGTGGCTGGAATGAAGTTACATGGTGAGAGGGAGGCAGCTTTCCTTCCCTGTCCTGCCAGATGGGCAAATGGCCTGCACTCAGAGATATCTGTGTTTCTGTCATTTCCCAAATGCTGAACATGGGATGAGGGCTGGAAAATTAAAAGGAAAATGCCCTCCTGATTGAACCCAGCTCCAGCCGTCGGTTCCAGCAGCCCAGGGGTTGGTCTGAGTGGGCTTGGAGATCAGTTGCTCAGACTAGGGCAAGAAGGGCATCCTCTCTGCACCTTCTCCTTCTGCTCCCCCCACTCCCACTATACTGGCCCCTTTTCACCTTCCTCTCCTTCTGTTCGTGGAGCTTCTCGGGGTGTGTATGCTGGCAAGCCGAGAGCTAGCGAGAGAAAGAGATCTGTGAGGGGACGTTTGGGGCCGTGTGTGTCCGTGCACATCTTCTTCTCCTGCTCATCTCACCATCTCACCAGGGAAGTTAAGTGTTGGGGAGGAGGGCGATGGGAGGATAAAGCCAGCCAGAGTACAAGAAGTGTGGGGGAAGGGTCAAGAATCTGGTACTGGGCTGCTGGTGTGGAAGCTGAAATTCACTAGAAGGGAGGAGCTCTAGTGTCCCTGCTCCAAAAGGGGCCCTTGCGCCCCCACTCGATGTGAGCACTGACGAAATGGTCCAATAGTCATCAACATTTTTCAAAAATGGCTAGAATCTGGCTCAAAAACCGGAATCGAACAGTGTGGGCTAGCTGGAAAAGCAATGTGTAGAAGTCTGTGATCTGGCCAGGAGAGCCACGTGAAGGGGTCCTTTGCTTCCGGCCCCAAGCCACCTGGATCCCACCCAGCCCTGTAGTTCAGAGTGAATTCTGGGAAGCCATCTGAGTGGGAGAGAAACCCAATTAACCTTGTTTCCAGGGCAAGATAAGAATCAGGCCCTGGGATGGGCTCCTTTTCTCTCCAGTTGCCCCTACCAGGTCCTGCTCTGTATGGTGCTCAGACCAGACTTCCTCAGGTTGGCATGTTGGCTGTGGATCTTGCACCATACTCCTCAGAAGAAGTGAAGGGGAAAGATGAGACAACTCCTTTCTCCCAAGAATAGGAGCCAGTCAGAGTTCTGTAAAATTCTACTAACCACCCACAAGGATGAATACCAGTGACAAAGGGCCCAATCTGCAGTTTCACTCCAGAGAGGCAATCCTGAGAGAATTCCAGAGAAGATGGAGAAATTTTTAAAGAATTCTGGTGAAAGTCTCTCAGTCTCCCTGTGGGAGAATTCTGGGAGAGCATTGAAAAGGACCACACGCTGTGCTGCTGCCGGCCAGGAGAACAACTAGACAAGGGTCAGCACCCTCATGTGGACAGCTCCCAGCTTGGCCACTCAGCCCCAGCTGCCAGGAGATGACCAGAAGGGCATTATCTCTAGACAGGAGGCTAGGGGGTTGGGGATAGACATTTAAATCCAGCAGAATCTGCCCACCCTTTGGCATTAGCACTTCCTTCTTCGACCACCTTTCTCTTTCCATTCAGAGAGATCTCATTTCAGCCCTAAAATGAGTGATAAAAGTTTTCAGAAAAACAAGTAGCATAGGGACTGCCCCTTCAGGGGGGCTCCTAAATGTATTAGGGCTTTAGAATGTGGGTCTTTGGGGGGTCAGAGTTCTCTCCAAATATTCTGGGAGCTCTGTAATATTTGGAGAGGAATGGGCACTGGGCTCTGAGGAGGAGAAAGAGGAAGGAGAAGGACCTTTCAGGGAAGTTGGTGCAGAGCTCTAGGCTCTGAGAAAAAAGAATTGGGAGGCCACCTTGCCTAAGCAGAAGGTCTTCCTCAGTGCTTTCATCCTGCCCCAAACCCTTTGAGGGGTTCCTTTGATCCTGAATTATACTGAGAGGAAGGAGGCCTGTTCAGATGTGGATCTGGTTTCTAGCGCCCTACTCATGGTTAAGTCACTCTAACCAGGTGGCTTTCCTGACTCAGCCATCATACAGACCTCTGGAATGTTCTTCCAACCTCATCCACACTTTGAAAAATGCCAACATTCCTGAAGCCAAAACAGTTGAATGCCCCTGAGTCCACTGAAACACAAATTTAAGATGGAAAAGGGATTTCCCCCATTAATATTTCATCCTCATCCTTGTGAGCTTATACTTTTTTTTTAATTTAAAAACTATGTCTGGCTCAAATGGATCTCTTTATCTGTACCTACTTGCTTTTTGCAACAGAAAACAGACGGTTGGAAAATGATGGGCTGTTCTCACCTTGATCATTTTTCAGTAATGGAAAGATTTTGTTTTCAAAGGAGGTAAGTGTGCACGTTTGGGGAGGAAGGAGTGCAAGTAGATCAGCATGGGGCTTTGCGCTAGGTGCCCGTGTGCCCCTAGGTCACATCTGGAAGGGGCAGAAAGTGTAGCTGTTTCTGTGTCCACTGGATGTGTGTGAGGGGCTTGTAGGGTGGAAATTCCAGCTAGGAATGTCCAGGGTCCCTCTCTCTAGCCTATGAACTGTCACTTGACGCTCTGCCTCCATCATCCCAGTCCCAGTTCAATCCTCCCATACCACCCCATAAAAGGAGGGCACCGTGAGAAACCGGATCTGTCTTTGCATCTCATTTACATAAATATTTATTAATCGTCATTAAACTGAACAGAAACACGCAATGCACTTCGGGTGTCCGACGGGAGTTTCATCTTCACTACAAGAGGAAGGTAAAATTGCGTGTGTGGGGGTGAGTTGTGTGGGTGTGTCGCCTGTGGGTTTGCATTTTTGCATCTTGTGTTTGGGTGCCAGATCCCCTGTTTCTGGTGGGGAGAGGTTCACCTTTTGTCCTTTTTGCGGGGAAGCTCCAGAAGGAGCCCTTCGCCCTCTCCACCCACTCTCTGGCAAAAGCCAGGAGGATGCCTAGGACAAAAAACCCTTCTCCAGCCACCGTAAATCGCCGGGCGCCTGGCTCCCACTGAGGCACAGTCCGGGCAAGGGCGGGGCCGCCCCCTGGTCTTCGTCCCCTCTGCCTCACCTCCAGAGGGGACGGAAGTGCCTGCGGGAAGGAGGAGCCAGCAAGCTCACCTCCTTCTGTCCCCCCGACGCCCGCGCGGGGCCTACGTGTGCGTGCGGTGTGGTGTGCGTGTGTGTGTCTCTCATGCAAACCCTCCCTCCCCAAACCGACCCCCCAACAGTTTGCCATTCCATACAAATTTGGAAACAGGTTTTTAAAAAACAGTATGACGCACAACGGGGACGGGGCAGGGGAGGGCAGTGGCACTGGGGCCCCAAATCTCCGAGTCACTGATTGTAAGAACCTGGGGAGGGGGAGGGGGCGGCGCAGGCCCCCACTTCACCAAAGTGCACAGATCCGCGCTTGGGCGGGGCGGCCAGCGGACCGGGAGGGGCATCCCGGGCCGGGCCGGGCCGCTAGGCTCAGTCAGAACCTCCTTGCATAGATATTTGTGTCTTTTTTTATTTGTAGTAGTAGTTATTATTATTATTATTATTTATTTTTTTTGCCTTTTATTGCTTCTAAAAGTTCTTACTGCGTTTTCTCTCCGATCTGGACTCTGCGTTCGGCCTCCGTCGCCTCTTAGCTTTTTTTTTTTTTTTTGTATGTTTGTTTGTTTAAAAAAAGGAAAAGGGAAAAATGGGTTCTAGTTACAAACTGGCTTGGCCTCTCTTTCCTCTCAATCCACATCCCCTCCCGCCAAAATTAAAAATGCAAAACGCGGAGACTAGGGGTTGGGGGTGAAGGCAGTCGAGACCAGGGCTTGGGCGCCCTAACTTCTGCCCTCTTCAAGAGAGGGTGCACCCAGCTCCTTTCGACCTTGGCAGCTCGGTGTCTATTTTTAAAATAATAATGAGGGGAAAAACCGCATCCCGCAGCTCAACTCTCCCCTTACCAACACCTTTGGGCCTTCAGAGAGGAGGAGGAGGAGGAGGAGAAAACCTAAGTGAAGGTATTGGGAATGGGGGATGTCTCCAGGGAGTGCCCAGAAAGAGGTCCCTAGAGAAGCACTCCCTGGGAGAGAGGAGGAGGGAGCCCCTTAGGGAGAGAGAAGGCTAGTCCCCTGGGGGAATAGAGGCCCCTGAGACGGGCCACCCACAGGTAAGAGACCGCGCTGCCCAGGAGAGTGGCAGAACCGGCGGCCCGCTCCCCGCGCCCAGCGCCGGAGTAGGTAGGGATGTTCCTGCGCTCGGGGGGCTGGGGGTACGGGGGCTGGCAAAGGCAAAAGAAAAATAGAGGGGTCGGCACGAGATCTCAGTTATGGAAAAACGCATTGAGCTCCTCGTACATGGGGCCCCGGTCGTGGTGAAGGTGCATATCGTAAGACAAGAGATTCTCGGAGTGGACGCCCCCGCGCACAGCCGACGAGCCGAAGACCAGCCCGTGGCCGGTGGGCCGCGAGCCGGGCAGCGCCGAGTAGTGCATAGAGTAGTGGTAGCTCTTCTCGTGGTCAGGAGACGAGTCCTGCTTGAGGGAGAAGTTGCCATTGAGACAGAGCGGGGGGCTGAGCGGACCCTCGTACTCGGAGCTGTTGTAGTCCGGACTCGCGCCGCCACCGCCTGCCGCCGCATACAGCGTCTCGTAGGCGGCGCAGTAGCCGTGGGTCCGAAGGGCGTGCGCCGCGCCGCCGCCCAGGCCGCCGGCTGCCTGGCACTGTGCGCCCGCCAAGCGCGAGCACGGGTACGGGTAGGGGTGCATTGCAAACGGGCCTCCCGAGCCGTGGAAGCGGCCTGCGCCGTCCGCGCCCTGCTCGGTGAGGAAGTTGCGGGAGTTGAGCTGCAGACAGCCGGCCACCAGATTGGTGGTGGGCTGCGACAGACCCTTGCACAGAGTCTGCACGTAGGACACCAGATCGGGCCGCTTTCCGGAGCGCAGGATCTCCGAGAGCGCCCAGATGTAGTTCTTGGCTAGGCGCAGGGTCTCGATCTTGGACAGCTTCTGCGTCTTGGAGTAACAGGGCACCACCTTGCGCAGGTTGTCCAGCGCTGCGTTCAGGTCGTGCATGCGGTTGCGCTCCCGCGCGTTTGCCTTCTGCCGCCGCAGCTTGGAGCGCTCCAGGCGCGCCTTGGTCATCTTGCGTTTCTTGGGGCCGCGCTTCTTGGGCCGCTCTCCTTCCGCCTCGTCCAGCCCTTCCTCCTCTTCCTCTTCTTCTTCCTCCTCGCACCCCAGTTCGCCTTCCTCCTTGACCTCGGCCAACGTGGCCTCTGGTACCTCTTCTCCACGGAGTGGTACTGGCTTGGCGGCCCGGGCGGGCCCCGGAGCCCCCGGCCCCGGCGCGGGCGGCGGCTGCGGCGGCGCGTCGCCCTTGTCGCTCCTGGGTTCGTCGTCGTCGCCGTCGCCCCAGCTGGCGAACTTGGGCACGTCCGAGAGGAGGCCGGGCTCGCTGAACAGGCGGGTCAGCATGGTGCCTGAGGGTGCCCCAGGGGCGGGAAGGGGAGACAGCACACAGTAAGGGGCGTGTTGGGGTCACGACGGCCCCCCCAACCCGCCTCTACCCCCAAGTCTTGTGCGGGTTCCTGCTCAGGAGGCCCTGGATGCCCACCTCCTCCGCCTGCCCCGCCCAGAGCCGGCCTTGGGCCGGGAATCTCGGCCCAGGCCCTCTTCCCAGCTCTGGGCCCCGGCTCCGCCCCTCGCTTGAATGTGGGGCCGCTCCCTGAGCCCGGTTCTTCTCAGGGGCCGAGCGGGGACCCGGTGTGTGTGTGTGTGTGGAAGCGGGGGGGGGGGTTGAGGGGCCAGATATATTCGCCAGGGGAGACTGTGCGCTCGCCCTGAAAGCCTGTTCTTTCCCAGCGTTGGAGAGAGGCTGGGCGACCGTGGGTGGGGACAGCTGCCCCGGTCTTCGGATCCGCGGCCCCGGCCCCTCGACCCGGCTCCCCCACCCCTCCTGTGGCTCTCACCCCCACGCTCCCTAATCCAATTTGCAAGTTGGCCGCGCGCCGCCCCCAGCTCGCCCCCACCCCCGCAGCCCCAATTCCAGAGGTGGGAGGACCGGCTCCTGTAAGCCGTTGCGTCCCCGGCTCCCGGAACCGGCTCTGGGCGGCGAAAACTGAAGAACCCGGGCGTGGGGAGGAGACAGAGAACCGAGCCCGGTCCGTCTCCCCTGCGGTCAGGGAACCCCTTCCTCCTTCAAACTGCTTCCCTCCCACACGGCTCTTCAGATCTCGTTGTATTTCGGGATTGACGGGAAAAAAAATCCAAATTTGTTTGTTTGCTTCTCTTTTTTTGGTGATGGGGAAAGGTCGCAGGTTCCTTCGGGACAGCCGCGGGGGGGTCCCTATCGCGGCCTCTTTGCGTCCCCGATGATCCTGCTCCCCCCACCCCATCGCAGGCAGAACACCTCCTTCCGCAGCCCCTAGAGCTGCAGCCCCTCGGGGAGAGAGGACCCGGGGCGCCTCTGTTGCCCACCCAATGAGGGGGTGTAATCCCAGGAAGGGGGGACTGGGGGACTCTCATGTCGGCCGAAGCAGCTGCGCCCCCCCCCCCAATCGGTGGGTCAGATCTAGCTCCCTTTCGGACAACTTACCTCGGAGAGGAGTCAAGGGGAGAGGGGAGGGGAGGGGGGGAGGGGGCAAGAGAGAGAGGGGGGAGAAGAGGAATCTTCTCGCTTATTTCATTGTTCCCCCATCTTCAGGGAGCGGGGGCAGTGGCTCCTCAAGGCGGCGGGCGCCGGCGTCTTCAGAGCGCCATGCGAGCCGCGGAGCGAGTGTGGCATCTCTACCAGGCGGGGTACCAGCCTCTATGCCAGGCCATATGGGCTTGGCACGTCACGGGCAGCAGCTATCACATGAGAGACGGTGATTGGCATGCGTCTGCATTGGGGGAGAGCCGGCTCCCCCGGGACCCGCCGCCATCTGTCACTCTCTACTCCAAAAAAAAAAAAATTAAATAAATAAAGGAAATAAATAAATATCTCTGCCGCCCTCCCCTCCCAGCCCAACACAGGGAAAGCAGGGATTGAGAGGGAGGTGGGAGGAGTTGCCCCCTTCAGCTATAGAGCCCCCCCACATGGGAACAATGGTGTGGCAAGGCTGGAAATTGGGGGTTTGTGGTGGCCGCCAAGTCTATGCTCCCTCCAGTGTCCTGCTCTGTCCATTTCCTCCCCTGAAGGCCCCAAGGTGGGTCAGGACCAGACCTTGGGGTGTGGAGAAGGGACCTCAGTGCTTGCCACCACTCCCCAGGAGGGTCTCTTCCACCACAAAGGGACAGCTGAGGCCCCCTTCCAGGGTGGGCGTGGGGGCTCCCTGGCCCAAGCCCCATAGGTAGATGTTGGCACCATGCCATCCCTCATCCCTGTCTGCCCCTCCCCCACCCACCCTCACGCACACACAACATATGTGGCTGAACGAAATTCAAACCAAGGGAAAGAGAGAGAAAGGGAAAGATTTGCCTGGATGTCTGTGCCTCTGCATGGGCGTGTGTGTCTGTGGGGACATGTGTGTCTATCTGTGGAGTTCACTGATGGGAGATGTTTCCTTGGATGTCAGGAGCATATGTATGTTGAGGTGGGGGTGGGAAGATGAGCCTATGTGCCTCACCCCACCCCCATCTAGGGGTGGAGGAATAGGAATCTGGGTCCAAGTCTGGATTCCTAACCCAGAAGCCCTCCTTCTCTTCACCATCTCCTCCCCCTGCCAGATAGGTGACCATCTCACCAGTGGCTTTCTCTACTGGCCTTTAACTTGGTTGTTTGAGGGAGGAGCAGAGACTAGCTGAGAACTGCCTAGACTTCCTAGGTGAGACTCAAGCACTCTCCTCCCTCTGCAAAAAAATACTGAAAACAGAGAATCTGAGCCTAGCAGTCAAAGAGTGACCAAGGGGAGGTAGATCAGACAGGTGTCCTGATGAGGAAGGTAGAAATGGCTGTTTTATTTTACAGCTCACCTTTCAACCTTCTTACTGGGCCATATGCAGATGTAAATGGCATATTTTGAGGGGGGTAGGTAGCTTTACACACACACACACACACACACACACACACACACACACACACACACACTGGTTCCTCACCCTCTGATGCAGAAAACAGATACGCATCTCTACTCAGATAGACACGTGTGTGAACAGGTGTAGAGACCCTTGCCCACACCTGGTCCAGTCATTTGTGTGTTTCTGAGCCCAATGTCCTGCCCTTCCCTACCCTCAGCTGACCTGTGCATTATCCAACTTTAATTACACTTTCAGCACACACTCAGAGGTCAGCCACATGCAAAAACTGGATGGTGAAAAGAAGAGCGCGTCCCCCTCAATCTGGTGGATGCATTCTGTTCTTTCCCAGTAGGAGCTTCCAGAAGGGTCCTGGGGCTGGTAAAATATGCCACAGATTGAACAAGGTTCTACACAGAAATGCATACAGTGGCTTGGAGGGCCTTGGAGAAGGAGGTGCTGATACTATCTGTGGCTCTCAGAGGCCAGGAGTTGGAAGAAACTCAGAACGCACCATCCCAGCTCCTCCTGTACAGGGGCTCATGGAGAGGATGGACTTACCTAAGAACACACAGGTAGAGAGTGAACTGGGTCTAGACCCTAGGTACTTGACTCTCAGCCCATGGCTCCTCCAGCAACCCCACAACTGTCCTGGTGGTCTCCAAGGATGAGAAGCCCTTCCTGGGTCCTACATCTGAGAAGGTGAATCCTACCTATGGTGTGGATAGTCCAGGAGGTTTGTGACACAGGCAGAGATTGAAGGATGGGTCTAGGATTGGGCAGACATTAGGGAGGACCAATCAGGCCTCACTCCAATGTAGGGCACAGTCACAAAGGCTTTACTGTCCCTTTATGGGGTCCTAAATCCTGAGAATAACCTTTCTCCTGAGTCCCTTGGCCTCATGGTTTTTGGTTAGCTGTATACGCTCTGGACTTCTGACACCTGGAGAACTCTGCTCGCCAACTTTTTTAACATGTTGAATGCCTAGGTTGGGGCTGTAGTTCAGTGGTACAGCACTTGCCAAGCAGGCACAAAGCCATGGCTTTGATCCTCAGTACTGCAAAAAAAGAAAGAAAAGAAGCTGAATGCCTTGAGCAAATTTCATAACCTTTCTCAGCCTCAGTTTCCCTATCTGTAAAATGGGAACAATTTTGCTATAGCCTTCTAGGGCTGTTAATGCTGAGCAGGTTAATACATGTGATGAGCTGAACCTTCGATGAACTCAAGCTCTTATTTTTATGAAGACACTTTTGTAAACTGTAACATGCTTTACAATATTAATTTCTAGCACACATCCCCCCACACACATTCAGAATGCTTTGTTTAAATAGAAACTGGATTTTGTTAAATTAATGCATGAGTGTATGAATGATTAAGTGAATGAATGCTTCCTTGGGGGACAAAGATATGCCCTGCCTTCTCCCCAGACACTGAGGGCTGGGTTAAGCCCACTGAGTCTCACACGCCCTTCTAGGTAGGAGGCAGAAGCTTTCTCATGATTGGAGAGCCCTTGGGAAGTCCTCCCATCTCTCCTGTCTCCCATCAGGAATGACCTCTGCTGTCTGAGTGGGAGAAGCCCCCCTCAGTCCCTCACAGGAGGAGGCAGAGGTGGGGAGCCATACCTGGGGTACAAGGAGCTTTATCCCTCCTGTTCTGCTTCCTGTTCCCGTCTTTTCTTCAGAAAAAAATATGGAACAAGTTTTTCTCACTCGACACATTTCAACTTTTTTTTTTTTTTTTAGAAGATACAATAAAAACCAGGGGAAAATTGGAACAGAGGGAGGTGTGGGATGGGCCCGCCTCAGACATGGGTTTGAAAGAGATACAACACGTGTGTCCCCATACATATGAGCAAGCATTAGCACACACATGTGTGCTCCTCTCTGTGCACCCAGAGATACAGAGATGCCTTGAGAGAGATGAAAAGAGCCAGAAATGGAAGGAAGGAGAGGAAAAGAGAAGGACACCCAGAGATACCATCTGTTCCTCCCTGTGGCATTGGAAGAAGGGAGATGGTGAGGGGCCGGGTCCCCTCCAGGTCTCTGAGAGGAAAAGGAGAACTGTAGGCACCTCAGCCAAGCCTGGAATATCCCCATCTTGTTGCCCACTCCTCAGAGAGGGAGCAGGGAGCTGGGGGCCTGAGGTTCCCATGGAGACATAGCCCCTTCCCAAGGGAGGTCACAGTCTGGGCACCTAAAATGGCTGCTTCAGAGGGGCGGCAGCCATTTTGTACAGGCTGGGCCCTGAGGGGCAGGGGTGAGAGTGTGGAGCAGGAATAGACAGGGCAAGAGGGAGGACACAGGTCATTCCTGAACACTAGGGGAATCCTGCCCAAGGGACAGGAAGAATGTTCTAGAAATGCTCTCATTACCCTCCATCTTCCAATATAAATACATTCATACCTGAGTCTGTAATTTCTCCTCTCTATTCTGGCACCCACAAGGACAGCCAGCCAGCCACCCCCACCCAAATAAGACTGGGGGGGCCAGTGTGTGGAAGGAGACTTGCTCCTTCATTAGTGCCAGCCATGGGGAGCAGGTGGGTCAGACCCAGGTGTCCACCCTCTGGCGGTGGTGGCCAGACATCCAAGTCCTGGGGCCTGCCTGGCTGAGGGGGGCAGGCAGGTGAGAAGGAACCCCTGTCCCCACCTCTTCAGATGGAGGGGGAAGGGCGGGAAAGTAGCCCCTCCAAGGTCCTGAGCTCCTGGCATTGGCTGCAGTGGGGAGGAGGCGGGAGGGGCAGCCTGGCACTGCCCAGACGGCGCCCGCGCTAGCAGTTCGGCTGCTCGAGGCTGCTCCTGAAGGGTTGGAGCACCTGCCACCCCCATCCCAGCCCCCTGCCCCACCTAAGTCCAGAGGACGCTGGGGGAGGGGGACCTGCCGCTTCCTCCTGGCTCCAGGGTGGGCACCTGCCCCGCTGCCCCCTCCCCCGCCCGCCGCAGTGTGCCGGGGAGCGGCGGCGGGCACGCCAGATGGCGTGGCTGAGAATGCGGCGACGTTGCCGGGAGGTGAGGGCTGGCACGGGTGATATGCGGCTGCGTGCCTTGTGGTGCCACCGGGGAGGGGGAGGGGAGGCCAGTGAGGTGTAGCCCCCTCCTCCGGCCCGACCTCCTGTCCTGACCCCCAGATCGCTACCAAGATTCTCCTGGAATCTTCCCCTGCCTGAGTCCTGGGCTCCCACTCTGGGCCTCCATCCCACTCCAAGCTGGGTGGGGCCGGCTGGAGCTCAGACCAACTGTGGCCTCCTTGCCCTCCCCTCACCTCAGGATGAATAGAAGACATGCTAGTCCTCCAGCACAGCCACCCTCCTCAGGCTTGGGCCCTTGCTCCAGAAATGGAGTGACCTTTGTCCCATAACCTTTGCCTTCCTGCCGCTGAGCCCTGTTTGTGTGAGAACTCCTTCCTTAATGGGTACTGGTTCCTCTGTCTCCCTTTGGTTAAACTCATCCTCCTTCCTCACCAAGATGCCTCCTAGACACTTCCTGCTGGTAGCCTTCCCTGACCTCCCCAAAGGGAGGATCCATTCTCCCATCTGTCCCCTGCCTTGCCCTGGGGCTGCAGGCAGGTCTCTGAGTGCACACGGACTGAGCCAAGCCTCTCCTGTGCTAAGCTGGCTGGCTGCACAGGGGCCTTTCCTGGAGGGTCTTTCCAAGTTGTGAGGCCAGGGTCCCCACTACACTTAGCACTCCAGATGCTTCTTCCTGCCTTCTGCACAAATGTCAGTCTGGGGAGATGGACTTGGGGTGAGTGGAAGTGGCTCCCGGCCAGTAGTTGGGGGTGGGGGGGTTGTCATGCCACACCTCTACTCCCTTGGCA